TGATTCACTACTAGCTCCAATTGCCCCCTTTGAACCTACTAAAACGACCATAGTGTTCTCTTCCTCACAATGTACCCTTCTGCACTAATCTGTATTTAAAAAGATCTCTATCTGTGGGAACTACGGGGTCCCCCTCTCAACATTTTCATTCTGCCCCCCATCACCAACCTCTTCTATAGTGTCCTCCTCACCCACCCATTCACCGTCTACTCTTGATTTTTCAGCTAACAAATCAATGGCCTCGTAGTTCAAATTAAAACTAGGCAAATCTCCGCCTACATCCTCGTTATCCCCCTCTTGGAACCAACTTCCAACGGTTTTTTCTCTAAGAAACCCTTAAAATCGGCCTCGAACCACTATCGGCCATATCAATATATATAACTTCACACTTTCATCCGACTTAATATGCAGAGATACCTTATAATTTTCAGGAGCTCTGCTTAAAATATACTTCACAACTATATCACTACGCGAGCAACTCAAATTACCTCTTCTAATTATTTATCAATCAACTCATCAACTAACCTCTGTGCTCACAGCAATTGGTATAACTTCTTTGCTCTTCCCAATCCACTCCCACTTCTTTTTCTCCACCCACTCACCAAAATATTCAACACCCAAACAACTTGTCCCATGTATAATAATAGCCAACTACCTGTAATGCAGAAAAACAATATTCTTAAATGCTGTACTAAGGTTCAAATATTTAAAAAGAATCTGCATATTCGCATATTTGGTCTGATGTTCGCTAAGGGATCATGGTTTTTATACTGGATCGCTTAGCGATACACTGGATCGCTTAAGCGATACCTGGATCGCTTAAGCGATCCAGTATAAAACACCATGATCGCTTAAGCGATCTTATGCCTTACTGATCGCTTAAGCGATCTGCTCCCATACAACAGACTTTAACCAGATCCTTAAGTGATCATATGCCACAACCTATCGCTTAACGATCATATGCCACATACCTTATCGCTTAAGCGATCTATCTCTGCATTACCAGACCTACCAGATCTTAGCGATACACCGATCGCTTAAGCATCCATCATACCCAGAACACATTTCAGTCGTCTCCACCTACAATCGACTCATCATACCCGAAAATAAATACCCATAACAAATTTTCAACAAATTTCACTCATTTCACTGCATTACATCAAACACAACCCAACAACCTAAACAACTAAATCAAAATCATAACCCAAACCCATCCATTATTAAATCTTTGTAAATCTAAATATAAAATGTAAAAAGGATATACACATACTTACACGAAATGTCAGGAGGAGGAGGAGGGGGATCTTGCCAGAGAAGATGTTAATGGTGGAGGAAGAAAGAGTGTTAATGGCGGCCGGGTTGAGCCCTCTTTTTACGGCCGGTTAGGGTTAGCCCGCCTAACCCGGCAGCAACCCCGGCGGGCCGGGTTACACAATGGTACCCGGCGGCCCCCGGGTTGCTAATTTGGCCTCTTTACAAGAGCCCGCAACCCGGCGGGTTCTGGCGGGTTGGCTGTGCCAACGGCCAACCCGCCGGTTGGCCCAAAAAAAAAAAAAAAATTGTAATATTTTTTTGTTTTTTCAATTACACTTTTACCCTTGAAATCAGCCGTTTTATAGCCGTTGGAGGGGTCTTTTTCGTCATTTTCTTCCCTATTTTTTTCTAAATTGGACCTAAACTTTCATATTTTTCTCACAACTCAAATTCTCTCATTTTCTCATATTCTCTATTCTCTCAACTCTCAGTCTCAATTATTCATTTATTCTCTTAATATTTTGTTATCAATTTGCTCTTATTTAATTTTATATGTTTTGCATTTTCAATTCATATTTCCAATTTCCATTCCAAATCTCTTTCTTTAATTTTTATTTCTTCTACATCATTTTTTTTTTCAACTACAAGTCTGCAATGGATAGATATTTCTCTCCATCAATTTCATGAGGAAGAAAACTATTATCCTAGTCCTTCCCCTGATTTTACTATGAATGCGGAGATTCAAATAGTCCCGCTGTCCCAATCCCAGTCTTAGAATCCGATACACCTCAAAATATGTCGTCGATTCCACAGCGCCCGGTGGTTCTAGAAGTCGTCCTCGTAATCGTCGCCTCTGTCCAACTTCATCTCAAGCTGAGGCGGGATCATCAACTGCCGTCGAAAGCGAAAACAGCACACACATCAGACGTTTGGGCGCATTTCGACAATTTTACGAGACAGAAAATGGCGTTCAAGTCAAGAAAGCAAGATCAAATATTGTGCAATTTTTATAAAGCTGATTCAGGTAATGGTACTAGTACTTTAAAAAGGCATGCTAATAAACATATTAATCAACATGGAAATAGAGAAAGCATCAAACTCAAAACAATATGGGTACTACTTGGCGTTATATTCTGATGTATAGGGAACAGTTAGCTTTTATATTTGCTGCATCTGATCAACCTATTAATATGGCAGAAGATAAATATTTTGAAAGATTTGTTCAAAATTCATTTTTTCCAGATTTAAAAGTTATTCTAAACTGCAACTAGAAATGATTTATAAAATTGTTTAAAAAAATGAAATAGAATTAAAAATAAATTTCATACTTGTCATATTAGTGTGTGCTTAACTGCTGTATTTGGAGTGGTAGAGCTAAACAAGATTATATTTGTGTGACTAGTCATTATTTTGTAATGATTAAATTAAATAATCTTTATTAGGATATAGATTAATGGATGTGGATCATAGTGGTTTAGAAATCTATAATAAAATTATTGAAGTTTTAGAAGATTATGATATTATTGATAAAGTGATAAGTTTAACTTTAGATAATGCAAGTTCTAATAGTAAAGCTATAGAATTTTTTCAAATAATTATCTTTTATATATAAATTTGAAGTTTTTTCACCAACGTTGTGCATGTCTGTTATTAATTTAATTGTGAAAAGTGTATGAAACATTAAAAAAATATTGATAGAATTAGGAATCTTTAGCTTGGATTACTAGTAGTAATAAAAGAAATGCTGAATTTCGAAGCTTGTATAAAATCAAATATGTCTCCTAGAACTTTTGCATTAGATATGCCTGTTAGATGGAATAGTACTTATTTAATGCTTGATTCATGTTTACCTTATGCTAATATAATTAGTTATTTTGTAGCAATAATAGAGGTCCTCATCATTTGGTAGAAAATGTTGGAAGATACTAAGTATTTCATTCTTTTCTCAAATGTTTTTACCAAGCCACTTTACAACTTTCTGGTGTGTTTATCCTACTAGTCCATTGGTAATACATGCAATTATAAAAATCCCGAGTTATTTACAAAAAACAAATGATGTAAATTTTACATGCACCATAAAGGCAATGGAAAATTTTTTTTGAAATATTGGAAACCCGTTCCTTTTCTTTTGTTTAGGTGCTATATTTGATCCTAGAATTAAATTAGCACGTTTTAGAAAATGGTCTTGACAATTTAAGTGAAAATTTACAAAACGAATCATATGTCAATCAAATAGGAGAGGTAAAAAATAGTCTTTTCGAAGTATATTTCCATATGAAAACAGGTATGGGAACCCGCAGTCGCAAGAGGCGAAATATCCAGAGAAGCTATAGCAGAAGAAACAAATGAAGACTTATTCTCTTGGAATGCACTGAATAGGCCGAAGAGGACCCGAGTCCGAGCAACGCCTCCTCTTCAGAAGCACCACCACCAACAACAACAACAACTATTGCTATCCTCCAGGGAGTCGCAGGAAATGAACTTCAACAATATTTGGCAACCCCCGAAATGTTTTCAACAGGTCACTTGATCTCTTAGAGTATGGAGAGCCAGAAAATGTTTTATTTCCGGTATTATCAAGACTTGCCTTGGATGTTTTCGCTGTTCCTGTCTCAACCGTCTCATCCGAACAAACATTTAGTGCAAGTGGAAGGATTTTAAATGAAAGGAGGACTAAACTTGCTCCAAAAATGATTGAAGTCCTCACATGTCTTCGAGATTGGGAACGATCGCGCCATCAAGATCATACGAGGTTATCGACAATGCTTTAGTAGAATCATTTCAATTTTGTAATATAGATGATACATATGAGAGGTCCTAGTGAACCACCCCCAATTTAGTTGTTTTGTAAAATGTAATTTGTAAATTATTGTCATTATTGCACTCTTTTTTTTTACCAAGTTTTTCTCTCATTGGGTTTTTCTGGTGAGGTTTTTAACGAGGCAATAATTGTTGTAATTTCTTATTTTATTTTTGATAAATGAATAAGTCTAATTTTTCTTATATTACAATTTTATTGTATTAAATTGAATTAATATTTGAAATGTTAACAAAAAAAAAATTGAATTGAATTGAATTATTGATATTTGAAAAGTTAACTAAAACAATTATATTTATTTATTTATTTGAAAATTTATTAAAAAACAAAAAACAAAAAAAAAAACACAAAAAAAAAAAAAAATTCGGGCTAACCCGGCCCGACCGTGCCTAACCCGGCGGGTTTGGGCTGGCGGGCCGGCTGGGCCAGCCCTCTCTCCTAAATGGCGCGGGTTGAGCCCCCCGCCAAAGCATGTAACCCGCCCGGTCGGGCTCGGGCCGGCGGTCGGACGGTTACTTTTCCACCTTTACGAGGACAAGAAGATATAGAGGAATGGAGAAGAAATATACAGGAAGGAGGAAGAAGAGAGATGCAGAGGAAGAAGAGATGTAACAAAACTAAGAAGAAGAGAAGAAGGCAGAGGTAGAGGTAAGATGCATTAATGGCGGAGGAAGAAGAAGGGTGCTTGGGTTTGTTTACAATATTTCGGGTTTGTGGGAATATAGTATAATTTTAAAAAGATTATATAATACTTCTTTAATCATAATTAAACACTAATCAAGTTAATTACCCTTAATCAAATAACTATTTACTTAAAACTTTAAAATTTGATACTTTTTAATTAAATTAAAACTGCGAGGTTGTTTTAATAAACTCCCTAAGTTAACATTTACAAACTACATAACTTTTAATTAAATTTTAACTTCAAATGTCTTTTAATAACACGCAAGAAACTTCAGAGGTGTTAGGAAAAAAAAAAAAAAGCAGAGATCAATCGACCGGCAGAAATGACGAGGGATTGGGAAGTACACGCAGGCCGTACGGTGAATCATGGTACTGGGACAACCGTTACTCGCACGAATCAGGACCGTTCGATTGGTATCAAAAGTACCCTGCCTTGGCTCCTCTCATCAACCTCTACGTTCCTCATCGCCACCAGCGCATCCTCGTCGTCGGTTGCGGCAACTCCGGTGCGCTTGCATCTTATCGAATTACCTCTCAGATCTTTACATTTGTAAAATAATCACATGATTGTAATAGAACGCTCAGATCTTTCATTTTCTGAAAGTTTTTTCAAATGTGTTTGTTCACAGCTTTTGGCGAAGGCATGGTGGATGACGGTTACGAAGATGTGGTGAATATTGATATATCAACGGTTGTGATTGAAGCTATGCAGAGGAAGTATTCTGATCACCTTCCACAACTCAAATGTATCTTACACTACATAAATGCTACGTTACTGGCGCGGTATTTTAATGATTGTTACATGATAAATACTAAGCTGTTTGCTATGTTGCCGGGTGATCTTTTGGTTGGAAATATAAGGCTGTTTTAGTTACCTTAAATATTTTAAAAAATATTTATGCTATTTGAAACTAAAATTTCAGTGAGATAATGTTACATAATGTACATGATCTTGTTATTGTGGGGGAAATGTATGACACCGGCACGATAACGTTACTGGGTTGTTAGAGTACAACCAAGGATCAGATGGCTTGGATATTTTTTTGAAAGAAAATACTCCATTAAAATGATATATATGTAATATTCAGTAAAGTTGTGACATGGCTAGTTCCCAACTTTTTAAATATAATCTAAAAGTTAGTTATAAATTTCTTAATGAGTGGGTAAGGAAAGGGAGTATATAACTCATATTTGTTGAAGAATTTTTTTATTTTGGTGAGGATGTGCTATAAACATTGTCTGTTTTTGATAGAAAGTTAGGGTTGCATGTTGCTGTGATTTTCTTAACTATTAATCAGATTTTCAAATGGATGTTCGACAAATGGATGATTTTCAAACAGGTTCCTTTGATGCCGTTATTGATAAAGGTAGGTTATTTTATTTGATTACAACATTGATTTTGGTTGAGCATTGATTAAATGGCAGTGTATCTGAAGCACTTGTTGACGTTATTTAATGTGGTGTTCAGGAACTCTAGACTCTATCTTGGTGAGTGGCATTGTGCTGTATTATTCTTTGGTAGTTACCAGGACTAATTGCTAATAGCAAATGTTTAATCTGCAGTGTGGAAGTAATTCACGGCAAAATGCCACTCAAATGCTTATAGAAGTTTGGAGGTATGTAGAAACAATAAACGACAATGTACAATTTTCAAATATTTTCTCTTTATCTTGTTTTTCTTGATCTGTTCACCATATATTGAAGCAGTTGATGACAAACTATAGGGTCCTCAAGGATAAAGGAGTCTATATTCTGGTAGCTGTGCCTTATCCCATTTACTTGCATTTTCATTTTTTTTGCCTCTTCCTACTTCCATATTCAACTTTTTTAAGCATTTGTTGACTTGTCTTTTTAATGTATATAGGTCACTTATGGAGCACCAATATATCGTCTGAGCTTGTTAAGAGATTCAAGCTTGTGGAGGATAAAGCTTCATGTGATAGGTTGATTAAAGCCCTATTTCAAATATTCATGGTTTTGATTGGCTTTCCTTTCTCGTTGCTTCTTATGTAGGAGATGTAATTTTTGGGGTTCTTACTTGAGTGTAGTTTCCTGTTGCTTTTCTTCATTCATTCCTTAGTTTAAGTCATGGATGATGAAAGTTCTTGTCAGCTTTGATGCTTTGCTATTTGCTAATATATTCTCCTTATTTTAGTATTTCAAAACTGATGCCTAGTGAGAAACAACGGTGGCATGTGAATTACTCTAATGGCTGGTTGCTTACAATTGAGATGCTTAATTGCCATTGCATAATGTTGTGCTAAAATCGTTTTAAACTAGTCTCTTAAGAAATCGAATTATTTTTGGTTCATTTCTCCATTTGGTTCCAAGATTTAAAATTAGTCTAATATTATGTTTCTGATATGGCTTATATTACTTGTAGAATGATTAAACTTCCTGGATTTTTTGGCTCAAGCTTCTTAAGCATTGGCACCTATATCAATTATTAACAGATCCAAAAGGTTACCATCGCTAGGATCATTTCAACATACAAAGTTGTCTTTGACTGATATATCATTCATGCATTAATAATAGCCTGATAACTATTTTCCTGTTTGTTTGTCCTATCCATCTGATTTCCTTCCTGTTCCTTATAGACTAATGGCTAAGGCCCTAAGCACGGTTGCTCATCTTGCTGTTGTCATATGCAGAGAAACTTGTGATAGAAGAGAAATCTGAGCGTCCATTATGGGAGCTGACTAATCCTGTCCCAATGGAGAACGAGGGAAGCTCAGTGGAAGCAGCAGTACTTGGGAAGAACCCTGATGTCCATTATATATATGTCTGTACTAAGGTTTGTATAGTCGCTATAACTTAATGATCCTTGCTTGCCAAAATCAAATTTAGAGAAATTTATCTGAGTTACCTACAGTCCATCTTGGAGTAAGTTGGTGTTCTGAAGTAGGCTTGAGGTGTATATGTTGACTATGATATGACTCTGAAGCCCTTTTTTTTCCCCTTGAAGGATGAATCTTTGAAGGCAGGACCTAAGCTGGAAGCAGCAGTTCATTGAGGAAGAGAAGCATCCCCAGCCTTTCGCAAAGTTATTCTTTTTGCCTTGCTTGAAATATTCTAATATTTATGTTGAGAATAATTATGGTAGTCTAATCTGTTGTCTCTGTATCATGAATGGCCATGAGCCATTGGATTTTACATTCTCCCTTATTTTTGTTGAGTCAGTATTTTCCTTACTGATTAACTTGGATTGATTGAATTAAGTAATGACAAAATTCACAGTTGTTCATATTTGAATGTTTTATATGCTTGCCAAAACACAAAATGAATTGATGTGTTACATCTGGATTACACTTCCTAGGAGAGATGGAAAAGATGAGACCTTATTTTCTTTTCCCAAATGCACCAAAACTCGTTGCCTTAATGTCGCACAGCTGGAAAGACCTTCACTAGAATCACAATGGCTGTCAATCTTGTTGCTTACATACAGTTCATTCATGCTTCTGAAATCTCCTAACCCAAGCCTAAACTAGTAGAATGAAGCAATCTGAATGCACAGTCTAAGTGGCTCTCTTTCTTTACAAAAAGTGAGATGGAATTTTCTCATAAATCCATCATTTTTCAGGTTATGTATTGAGAGCCTAGTGAAAAACAACCCATAAAATGGAAAGGGGCTTTAGCTTCAATTAAAGGCCGATGAAAGTTGATAATGCCAATCACTAGATATAAAGGCGTGTATTGCCAGCAGTGTAACAACTGAGACACGACTAAAGTCTCCGTCACAATTTTGTCAAGTATGACAATAATAGCATTTTATTGTATTGTAATAGACATTTCTTATTAATAGTCTCATTAATATTTTACCTATAATTTATTACCATGCAGTCATGCTTACCCATCTCAATTTTATAAGACATGAATACGCATCCTTTAATTAATTATTTCCCTTCTTGTTTTTCTTTATTTAGTATAAAATTAAAAGCCATAAATATTCACTGTTATGCATTTCGAAACACACAAATATCAACGACCCTGACGACGCACTCACAGTAGCCAACCGTGCAGGTGACCACACAGAAACAAGCTTGCGTTGAAGACATCTCATGCCACGTCTTATGTAGAACGTAATTTTCTCCCTCTCGTCTCGTGTCCCAGTGTGGACATAAACCAAATAGACATTGACTTTTTTTTAAAAAGAAAAATTAATATAAACTCTTTTTTCTCTCTTTTTTAACATCTTTATTAATTTAATTTAATTTTCAGTAGCTTTAACATGCTCAAAATCTCTCTGAATTTCTCTTTCATTAACCACAAGCTAATCCAATTTTATTTCTGTTTAAGCTATCAAATCTTTGCGTGTACTCTCTCTCTCTCTCTCCTCGATTTCAGCTTTCGTTTTGTTTCCTTTGATTTCGTGATTGATTATGAATTTATTTGTGTTGGCTTTCGTGTTTTTATTGTTGTCCTTGTTTTGTTTCTTGCAGATTCGTGTTGGTTTTGTGGATTTTATTAGCTCATGAAATCTAGGGTTTATGGCACAGACTCGAAGATACGTTCCTAATCAACAATTAGGTATGTGTTTTTATTATTTCTTTTTTCTTTTTTTTTTTAAAGTTCTCTTGTTTGAAATGGCTAATTTAATGTTATGTTTGGAGTCTGTTGATGCGATTTGTCATAATTGTTGTTCAATTGATGCACGCAGGTTGAGGTCTCAGTTTCTTTACATTGATGGCTGTTTTTGATTGTTTTTGTTAGACATTTAGTTTCAGTATGTTTAGATGTTTTAAGATTGAATGTGTATGTTAAATGCTTAGTTCTTGTTTGCTACTTTATTAGTAAGCTAACCATATTTAGTGAGGTTCTGTTACTTAGGATGCAATTTTATGCATGTCTTTGTTCTACTATTTTGTTTGCATGTAAGTATATATATATATATATATATATAAGTTTAGGTGCGATGATAATGGATAATGTATTATATGCTGAATTTTTGTCTCTACGTATTCCTATATATTCTAGTGTTTGGATTTTGAACATTTAGTTCTTAAGCTTTTCATAATCTGTGAATGTTTTGGGATTTGGCAGATCTTGAACAGATATTGCGAGAAGCTCAATNAGATACGTTCCTAATCAACAATTAGGTATGTGTTTTTATTATTTCTTTTTTCTTTTTCTTTTTTTAAGTTCTCTTGTTTGAAATGGCTAATTTAATGTTATGTTTGGAGTCTGTTGATGCGATTTGTCATAATTGTTGTTCAATTGATGCACGCAGGTTGAGGTCTCAGTTTCTTTACATTGATGGCTGTTTTTGATTGTTTTTGTTAGACATTTAGTTTCAGTATGTTTAGATGTTTTAAGATTGAATGTGTATGTTAAATGCTTAGTTCTTGTTTGCTACTTTATTAGTAAGCTAACCATATTTAGTGAGGTTCTGTTACTTAGGATGCAATTATATGCATTTCTTTGTTCTACTATTTTGTTTGCATGTAAGTATATATATATATATATATATATAAGTTTAGGTGCGATGATAATGGATAATGTATTATATGCTGAATTTTTGTCTCTACGTATTCCTATATATTCTAGTGTTTGGATTTTGAACATTTAGTTCTTAAGCTTTTCATAATCTGTGAATGTTTTGGGATTTGGCAGATCTTGAACAGATATTGCGAGAAGCTCAATACCGTTGGCTTCGGCCTGCTGAAATTTGTGAGATACTTCGCAACTACCAACGGTTTCACTTAACGCCAGATCCACCTACTCGGCCACCAGGTTGTTATTGACAACTTTTTAAATGGATGTTCTATGCTTAGAACCATGTATATATTTCTTTGTTATCTATCTCTGTAAATATTTTATGTATTATTCATTTTTTTCATAAGAAACTGTGTACTTGTCATATTAAGATAACTTCATTTCTATGTGAAATGTTTAGATTTATGTTTTTTCCCTTTTGCACATATACTTTCTGAACTATATCATTAGTTTAATATTTTTTGAACAAATTTTTGAGCAATGGCTTCCTGTGTTGGGACATGCAAACAGTAACTAATATTGCTCTTTTTTCAGCTGGTTCTCTCTTTCTGTTTGATCGGAAAGCTCTTCGATATTTCCGTAAAGATGGTCACAGGTGGAGGAAGAAAAAAGATGGAAAAACCGTCAAAGAAGCTCATGAAAAGTTGAAGGTGTGCTGTTCAATTTATTATTTGTAAGTTCACAGTTTTTTGGTTGGTCTTGTGCAATGTAGTTGAGGTGTCACAGTGCCATTGCCTCCTATAGTGGACCTTCTATCTCTAAGTTGTCAGTTTTATCCTGTGTGGTTGCATGGGTTAGTTCTTTTGTTTCATTTTGATGGAACGTTTAGGATATTTATGGCTCTTCAACATCGATTTAAGCACAAATATTTAAGTTTCTTGCGCTCAAACTATATAAAATGAAAAAAATGTAGAAGTATCCTCACATGGTTGAATGTGCTCTGATCAAATCCTTTTGAAATATTCTGCAAAATAATTCATATACCAAAATGGAAAATACTAAAATTTATTTAATAAGATAAGTATTTAGTATCAATTGACTACCTTGGCTGCTGATTTGGCGTTTCATTTTCATGAACCCTTTTTGAATGCACCATTGAAAGTTATGGATGATTTAGTTCCCCTGAACTATATTACTGACTTTATATGGACAACGTTTTTGTGGACTTGTCAAGGCTTAAAAGGAGTTAGTTTCCCTGGAATTGCTAAGGTGACCTGAAACTTGTTACCGTCTTTCAATTTCTATTAATTTAATATATTTTAATTCTCATCTTCCCCTCCCCCCCCCCTCCCTGCTGCATGTTTGTTTTATGTTGGAAGCTTGGTTGAATCTCTTTCTCGTCTTTCATTTTGTTCTAAACAATTTAGCAATTTCGGTTTCAATGTTTCTGGTGTCCAAACTCTAATGTTTTATTAGGTTTTTTGCAATGCTTGTTAATTTTAAGCAGTAACTTTTCATGTTCTAGTAAGTGTCTATAGTCCTAACTGTGATTGGTGCTTTTCAGATTGTTGTGGCACTCTGAGCTTTGTTTGGGCTGTTTAATTATTTTGCTTAACTGTTTTTTGTAGGCTGGTAGTGTGGATGTTCTCCACTGCTACTATGCCCATGGGGAGGACAATGAACACTTTCAGCGACGAAGTTATTGGATGCTTGATGGGTAAGTTTTACTGTTTTCTTGTCTATTAAAAATTTAATAATTTGAAACGTCAAAGAACTTGAAATCACCTGTATTCCTATTGCTAGTTATCTGTGCAAAAAATTTATAATGGTTGTTAAAAGATTTCATATCACTAAATACTTCATGTTGATCTTCTCTGGCATTAATAGTTCTCTGCTCATTGCTTTCTGACTTAATTTGCTATAGTCATCCGATTTACCAATTTTAGTTCCCTCCTACTCCCAGAGATAAAAATAACCCCTAGCCTTTTGGGCCAAGGTTGATAAGACTTGGGATTCATCCAGCAATAAAATTTCTTCAGTTTCCTATGAAAAAAGGAAGTGCACCCATTATGTATGAAGTTATGGCTTTAGTGAAGTATGTCTGTCACCCAGCATGTTAAAATTTTTACATCCGACAGGCAGGAGCTTTTGTGATGCAACTATGTGAAACTGTTTGCTAATTATTAATAAAAAAGTTTTACAACTAAAATGAAATGTTCTTTCATCAGAAGTTCCTTTTGTTAATATTTGCATCATTTCTTTCTTACATCCTGTTATTACCTGACCTCTTGTCCACGTTTTTCAGGCAGTTAGAGCACATTGTTCTTGTGCATTACCGAGAAGTAAAAGAGGTATTTCACTGATAGTTGGCTTCATGTCTTTTTTTTTTTTTCCCTGCTTGTTTAATTCTTTGTTTCTTGGGGTTCCTGTGCCATTGTGCCTTTAGAAAATCAGTCCTTAATGAACACATTGCCAAGAACATTTGCTTTGCTTCTGTGCATTGGCATTTAGAAATTCAGTCCTTTATGAACATCTTGCTAAGAACATTTTCTTTACTTCTGTGGCATGCATGTTGGCCAATGTGTAACATATTTAATAAATTTGAAATGGACTGGGTTGACTTTACTTGGTATTCATATATGTCGGTATTGGTGATGTGGCTTAGATGGTTGATTATGTTCTGATGCATTATGCAGGGGTACAAGTCTGGCATCTCCCGTTTGGTAACAGACCCAGGATCACAGATTGAAAACTCTCAAACTAGTTCAACTCACTCCTTTGCACAAGCAAACTCACCTGCCCCCACAGTTCAGACTTCTCATGCATCGAGCTCGAGAAAAGTTGATTGGAATGGACAAGCATTATCTTCAGAGTTGGAGGATGTGGATTCCAGGGATGGTCCTGGAACCACGTCTCTTGTTCAACCTATCTATGGTTCCATGTCACAGAATACTTCTTTACTTTCACCTGACATTGCAGGTAAGGTGCATTGTGACATACGTGATCTCTAGTAGAAGCTTTTTTTCAAGTTATGTGCCTTTAGAGCTAATGCTAAGAATAACAACATTAATGATTCAATGTATACCTCTGTTCATCTGTTCTTGCTAGGTGGTATAAGAAATGATAAATATTTAGATGATGACAATATTTTTATCACTCAACAATGGAGAGTAGAAGTTTTGCGTTGGATTTATAATTGTGGTTGTTTGAATTGCCAAGGGTTCTTGTCTTCCATTAAACAGTATTTTCTGCCCACTATTTGTCAGATAACTCAAATTTTGCAGTTGTTTGACGTGAACTTCATCGAGTAATGCCTTATCATATGTACCAACACTTTTGTATCATCTTCAACTTAACATGTATAAATTTTCATGGGTTTTATCACTTTGTAATTTAATAATCACTGTTTTAGACATTTTTATCTGTTTTGTCAGGACTTTCTGAGTTATCAAGGCATTCTCCAGATTCATGGTTTACTGGCGCTAAATTTAATCATAGCACTGGATCAAATATGTGGACTCAAATTCACAACTCAAGGACCAATGCTCTCAATGTTCTCGACCATGACCAGAAGCTTTATGTTGAACAACCTGGTGGAACTGACTTCATAACTCATAAGCTAACTGATGCTAGATTGGATGGTGATAACACTGTACCAAACATTGTACCTTGTGGAGATAGGTTAATCACTGATGGAGATGTCCGTGCTGTCACAGCATCTTCACAGAGAGTAACTCAGGTCTGTTGTATGCTGCCCAGAAACCTCTACATTTGCTCAGCTATATTTGGTATTTCATTTTTTCATTCATCATTTGGCATCCATTATCAAATATTGAGAAGGATTAGTGGTTATACTTTAGTTGTGTGGTGATTGTGACTCTTTTTTTTTTTTTTTTTTTTTTTTTTTTTTTTTTTTTTTTTTTTTTTTTTGTCAAAGATCCAGTTGTAAGATTGAGACCAATCATCATCCTGCAAATGTTTAGGTTGTTCTGGGATAAACCTGTTACACCTCATGTGATTTTTTTTAGATAGATGTTTTTGCAAATATATTGACCATATGCTGCATTATGTCACAGGTGCCACAGGAGCGTGATTTCAATTTGACTAATCACCAGTATCAGAATTCTTCTGTACCCGAGACAGCAGGTGCTTCTGTCACTCAAGCTGAGAACAAATCCAAGGATCAATCAGGAGAGCTGAAGAAACTAGACAGTTTTGGAAGATGGATGGATCAAGAAATTGGTGGAGATTGTGATGATTCCTTGATGGCTTCAGACTCTGGAAATTATTGGAATACTCTTGATTCTGGGAATGACGACAAGGAAGTATCCAGTTTATCACACCATATGCAGTTGGAGATAGATTCACTGGCCCCTTCTCTTTCCCAGGAACAGCTATTTAGTATTCGTGATTTCTCACCAGATTGGGCTTATTCTGGAGTTGAAACAAAGGTATGCTTGCCTGGCTTATTGATAAATCACATGCTATTTGCTTAATGTTTTATCAAGTTATTGAGACTAAGATAAATTGAGATAATACAAAAAGGGTCTTAATGGTTGTTTTTGTCAGGTTTTAATCATAGGCACATTTTTGGGAAGCAAAAAGCTCTCAGGTGATACCAAGTGGGGCTGTATGTTTGGTGAACTTGAAGTTCCTGCTGAAGTGTTGACAGATAATGTCATCCGATGTCTAGCTCCTTCACATTCTCCTGGGCGTGTTCCATTTTATATCACTTGCAGTAACAGGTTAGCGTGCAGTGAGGTGAGGGAGTTTGAATATCATGAAAAACCAATGAAATCTTCATTTTCTGCGGCTTTGAGAATTTCACTGGAGGAGGAAGTACGATTCCAAACACGTCTAGCAAAGTTGTTGTATTTAGACCCAGAGAGGAAGTGGTTGGATTGTACTATTGAGGAATGTGACAAATGTAAGCTGAAAAATACCATATATTCTATGAGAGACACCAGTGAAAAGGGCTGGGGACAGGTTGAAGAGACTAATCTGGTCTTTGAAGATCATCGGCCAAATTCTAGTGAAAAGCTGATTCAGAATTTGCTAAGGGACAGACTTTGTGATTGGCTAGTCTGGAAAATTCATGAAGATGGTAAAGGTCCTCATGTTTTAGATGGTTGCGGACAAGGAGCCATACACTTGGCAGCTGCTCTTGGCTACGAATGGGCTATGGGTCCCATAATTGCTGCTGGTGTCAGTCCTAATTTCAGAGATGCAGGAGGAAGAACCGCACTTCACTGGGCATCATATTTTGGGAGGTCAGACTTCAACCATAAAAAAAAATTTCTTACACGTGTAGTCTCTCACCTTCATGTATGTTACTCTAAGACCATATTATTAGTTGCAAAATATATGTAGTTCTTGTCTATCACATTGACTTTTTTTAAGCATGGATTATACAGTACGTGATGGTTTTCATACCCAGATTTTTCATATCATTTGAATGCCTGTATACTGACAATTAATTTGTTATTTATGTTTATGCCCCCTTGTCCAGAGAGGAAACCGTTATTGCACTTATTAGATTGGGTGCAGCTCCAGGTGCGGTTGAGGATCCAACACCAGCATTTCCTGGAGGACAAACTGCTGCTGATTTAGCATCAAGTAGAGGACATAAAGGGATTGCTGGATACTTGGCCGAGGCAGATTTAATTAGTCATGTTTCTTCATTGACTGTCAATGAAAACGGGATTGACGATATTGCTGCAACTCTTGCCGCAGACAAGGCTACAGCTCAAGTTGGTGTAGAGTCGAATGGGGCGGTGGCTGAGCAGCTTTCTTTGAGAGGATCTCTTGCTGCTGTTAGGAAATCAGCTCATGCAGCTGCTCTAATTCAGCAAGCCTTTCGTGCTCGTTCATTCCGTGATAGACAATCAACTAAGAGCCTTAATGATGTCTCTGAAGTTTCAGTTGACCTAGTTGCTCTTGGCTCTTTGAATAGGGTTCAAAAGATGAATCATTTTGAGGATTATTTGCATTTAGCAGCCGTTAAGATCCAACAAAAATATCGTGGTTGGAAAGGAAGAAAAGATTTTCTGAAGATACGAAATCGAATAGTGAAATTACAGGTACTAGTGTTTGCACTGGTGCTTCTTTTTTTTTTTTAATAGTCATTCTGAGAGTAATTTATAGTGCTTACAGTAATCGTATAGTGATAAGAGAGATTTGAATTTGGAAAAATCTAGCAGAATGATTAATTAAAGATGAATCATAATGGAATGGATGTACCGATTCTCAAATATGTTAGCTTGAGTTGGACTTTTGGGTGCACCTGCATGTGATTGCTGTGTTGAATACAATATGATATAATCTTATAATATGGTGTTTCTGTTTTAGGTTAGTTGATATATTTGCCATCTATACGCATGTAATATAAATTTAACCCTGTTTCATATTATTTTATTGTCAATCTTTCGCTTCGATACCTTGTTCATGAAGTAGCGGGTATGGTTGTAAATGTATTACTTATTGCATAAGCTTGTCCTATGTATATTTTAGTTAGACTCAGGTTTCCAGATGTATGTGCAATACTCCCTTTTCATCTGCTCTTTTTAATTTTCAGGCTCATGTCAGAGGGCATCAAGTCCGCAAGCAATATAAAAAGGTTGTTTGGTCTGTCAGCATTGTCGAGAAGGCAATATTGCGATGGAGGAGAAAGGGGACTGGTTTGCGAGGATTTCGACTTAAAAACACAATGGCCAACATGGCACCAGAGATCGATAAAACTGATGAATATGAGTTTCTGCGAATTGGCCGGAAGCAAAAATTTGCTGGAGTTGAAAAGGCTTTGGAAAGAGTTAAATCCATGGTTCGTAACCCAGAGGCACGTGATCAGTATATGAGACTAGTTAAGAAATTTGAAAATTTTAAGGTATATTCTCTGTTCCTTTCAATAATTGAAATCCTAAAAAATGTTATATTTTATAAGTTATGCTTGCTGCAATGACAATTGGTTCATGGCATAGAGTTTTTTTCTTCATGCATTAAAATTCATTTCTTAATTATGTATTCCTCGGTGATGAACAGATGCTTGACGAAGGAAGCAGTGCACCGTTGCAAAATGAAAGTTCTCTAAACAGTAAAGCAGAGGATAAATTGTATGCATCTGCAGCTGATCAATAATCTAGATAATGTTGGTATGGAACTAAACTCTGTGCAGTTAACTAGTGTCTAACTTGGATTAATGGAGGGTTTGTTGACGTTAAGAAAGACAGGATAGAGGAGAGGGGAGGCTGGGAGATTGTACATGTGTCTTTTTTTATTTTTTGTGTTAACATTAGTAATTTGTTTACCCGATTATAGGGTTAAGGAAATGAGACAGCAGCCAAGTTGATTAATGGTTGTAATAACAAGTTAGTAGTGCTAGTTCTCACAGTTAGCTTATGAGTATTAAAAAGTGTTATTAAATGCATAAGTTTATCAAAAAGTGAAGTTGACCCTATCAAAGCTTGTTGCAATTACTTGTTACAATTTCAACATTTTCTTATATATTAAAACCACTTTTTTAAAACCCGGCTTGGTTTGACTGGTTTAACCAATTTAAACAGGACATGGGAGCTTCACTGGGTGGGGTTAACATTTTTCCTATTCACCTAAAACCCTAAAATTTAGGATAATGAGCGGTGAACAATTGAAGGTTGAGATGTTGAAGCTTTTGAAGAGAAAGTATCGATGAGTGCAATAGTGGTGACGGAGTTGATTTCTAGTGAATGAATTGATTGGAAATCAAAAAAAAATTGCAACAGGAACAATTGGCTTTTGTCAGCGATTGGTGAGGCTAACAGGGGTGGGATGAGATGGGTTTTGGTCGAGAGGATGAAAGGAGTATTTTCAAGGTGATGGAGAGAGCTATCGACGCCAACGTCGGTGAGGTTTGGCTTAGAATGTCAACGTTGATATCGGTGAAATCTAGTCGAAATCAATGGAGAATGAGCTCAAGGTACAATTGAGATTGCATTTGGGATGTTGTTGCTGCCAATCAATCGCAATAAGGATTTAACATAATTTTTAGGGGTATATTTGCTAAATTTTAAAAGTTGTCACTTGGTTTGACCGGCCAATCAACCTAGGACCCGACAACTTTATGGGGTTTCACCTTAGATTGGTTATTAAAAAGTTGATTAACACTATTAAGTACATAAGGTTTTATTCTTGACACCAAATTCAAAATTTTATAGAAATTTCAGTAAAACCAATGCTCTGAGTAGAAAGCAAACAATAGATATTTACTGCACTATGCACACTTCTACAACTGATCACAAGGCCAGATCAAATCAATTTACAAGTAAAAATGTGTAAAAACTCATGGCATTGGCCATTTATCTCAAAAAGGCACGCGGCTTAGAGATAAATCACACACCAACACCACTGTACAATAACACTCAGACATAACCCCACCATTGAAAATGAAATCGATAAATATTACAGAAGCAAGCTGACAAAAGCAACACCCTAAAAAATTGCCTTACTTCAGCAGAGCATCTGCACAGAAACTCTGAAACTGAGTAGTGAATAGTTCCAGTACCTTGGGATATTTGTTCATACATCTGCAGAAAAAGGTGATGATCTTTGTTCAACCAGAACTGGCCTTGTTGAACTACAATGGCACCAGGATGAAGGCTTTTGTGCTAATCAAACGAGCCCTTCTACTTCCTGTGTTCGCAATCATAGATTAATATTAATAAACTGAAGCAAGTGTTTTGAGCATTTAAATAGTTACCATCGCCAACCAAACTTTTCATACTTATATTTTGTTTCAAAGCCATTTACAGGACGGCTGGTACTCAATCTACGATATTGAGCAAGTTCATCATTAACGCGAGAAAGAAGCTTTCCGGAGTGTGCCAGCCTCTGTTTGAAATCAGTGTCACCCAGTTTCAATACGCCACTCTCCTGTCAGATGAGAAAGACTTCAGCAAATATGAAAATGAGTAATCGGTTAAATGGAATTGCTGGTAGTGGATAAACTTGCCTTCTTCGTGGACTTTTGTTGTACTTGTTCTTGGGTGATTTGTGCACCGAGAAGTTTTTTCACAATGTCATCCAATTCTGTGATCCTCCTTAATAAATTAGTCTTATCCATCTGGATCATAAAGGCAGCAGAAAAAATTGCTTACGTGATTCCATTTATACTACAACAACAATGTAAAGAATTTAACTGGCATTTAAGTTGGACACACCTTCAATATTTCATTCTGTGTCGAAAGCAACTGATCCCGCTCATGAAGTTGCTCTAGACTCACCTGGGCCTTCAGTATATCTGCATCTTTCTGATTTAATTCTGATGTACAACTGCAGTATATTGAATCAATCTCAACCGTTCAAAAAAAAATGTGAAGGGCCCAATAAACAAGGTCATCTCTGTGACAAAGATCATTGAAACCAAATACAGGTGTAGTTTCGACTGTATTTAAGTATTGAAATGACATGGAAAGAAAAACAGTAAACTCAGTTTTCAGATTGTAGTGAAAAAGTCTAACCTATCTCTTTCCTCCATTAGATCTTCAATCCGTTTCCTTAGATTGAAAATTACTTGCTCCTGACAGATCAAATAACAAGTATATCAGGACTAGAAGATAACTAGATGAATCATAAATCAAAATATAGTGATATTAACCTTTGCATGCAACTCTTCAGTCTGCTGATGAGCTGCCACCAGTAATTTTTGAACATTGTCCTGGTCTATCAAGTTCTAGAAGAAACGAACAGAAGATATGATGTTGATTATCAGAGCATCAATGAACATTCATGGTTATTATGATTAGCATAAAACTTACTGCATAGTTAGTCATATCCAATTTGACACCAAGTAAATCACGAATGACATCATGTGTCATGCTTTCTGCTGCAGCCAGCCTTGTGTTCAGCATACAAACCTGATGTAATTATAAGATTGAGTCAGAAATTTTATGAATCACAATGATTGTGTCAATACTTTGTACTCCAGAGACAAACATCCATGCATATCTTCATAAAACACAATCAAGTGAAAAGCTCTTCACCTCCTTATGCCGACTAGCTGCCAATTCCTCCAGCTCTTCTATTCGATGCCTGGCCACTGACAACTCTTGATCCTTCTCCACATTCATCTGCTGAACCAAGCTCGCAATGCATCTGAATGGTGAGCTGGAACCCCTTGTTCTCGTTGCTGTTCTCTCAGTTTTATCTGCTGCTGGTGCTGTTGATGCTGGCTCGGATAAATTTGTTTTCATTTCACGAATCATTGCCTCCAGAGTTTTGTACTGTTGAAAGGATGCTAATGTAAAGTCATAATTCTGATCATAGAAATGCTGAAAGGTTATGGTTCATGCTTCAATATAGAACACATATGGTAAACCACTAACAGGTAAGGGCACCTTGAAGTTGAAGCAACAGCATAAGTTAAGAATTTTCAATGATTTTATGTCTACAAGTATATCAGATAATCTGTTTGATTCTAGATATTATAAATGTAAAGCCTAAAATGGTGTTATAAGATAACACTCTTATGGGAGACTGTCATATGGCTTTCCTTCACTTTTGTTCTTATAATATAGCCCCAATTGTACCGAGGATAAAGATACCACGTGCTGAAGATATAAACTAGACTTTACATGCCTGCTTCAAAGTTCCCAATATAATGACCAAAAATTTAATGAAAAACTATAAATATACCTTCTGTTGGTATTGTGATGCCTGGGCTTCAGAATGCAAAACAACTTCGGAAATGTACTCTTTGCACCGTTTGATCTTCAAAATGTGGAGAAATTGTCATCATAAAAAAAGGAAAAAATGTAAGTAATGTAATGCGAAGTACCACCATACATTAAAAAGCTTTTAAAACCAGAGCAGACTTGGGTGGGTTAGGATTGTACCTCTTTATTCTGTTCTTCTCTTTCTCTCTCCAGAAGCCTTATTTGGTGATGTGCCTCGTGAAGTTGCAGTAGCCTGTCTTGCAGTTGTCTGCGTCAAAAATAAAATTTTCAGTGAAAGACACAAGAAATAGCATGAGCCAGATTATAAAAAGAAAGCAAGCTGGTCATCTGACCTAGACATTTGATCTTCAGTATGCTCAGAATTTGTATTTCCTGAATCTAAAATATCAGGGAAGCTTTCAACTGTAGACAATCTCTGTCTCAGAGATTGAATTTCCAGTTGCAATGATTCTCTCATCAACTGATGCCTTTCTACCTCCTCATCCATTTCTCCCACCTAAGAGAAGAAACATGCATTTTAATTATTTTAGTGAAGATCATTAAGGAACGGTAACCTACAAACCGAAAGCAGGACAAAGAGACAAAACGCTTTATAATCTTCTGTTTATGAAAAGACTTGAATTTAGTAATCGAGAATCCCGAGGGAGCAAACCTTTTTCTCCAATACATTTATGGTACACTCTAGCTCCTCAACAGAGTGTTCTAGAATCTTGACTTCCTCTTCCTTCTGGTCAGCGTATATTTTACTTGCCTCCGACTCCTATGTAAAAAAAATCAAGAACAATATAAAAGCAGGTATAATTAAGAAAATGGCAGCTGCAAAAATATGGTATTAAAAGGAAATTTATCTCTTTCTATATATATACCTGGCGAGCTTCAACTGCAAGAGCTTCATTTTCATCAGCTAATGCATAGGCCATCTCAGCCTTATCATTCAAGGAGCGTACTTCTTCACGTAGTTCATCTCTCTCGCTATTGACTCTCCTCAGTTCTTCCTCTATGCTTTCAATTTCTTCTCGGAGTTTGTCTCTATCACTAGTGACTTCCCTCAGATCTTCTGTAATGCCTTGTACTGAAGAGAGCAATTTTTTGTCCTCTGAAGTACGACGAAGAATTTCTTTCTCCAACCCTTTGACTACTTCTTTCTGTTCTTCTAATTGCTCTTCAGCTTCAGATTTTTTGAGATAGAGGTCTTTCAGAAGCATCCTCAAGTCAGCATTTTGTTCAGACAAAGTATCAACAGTTTCTTTAGCCTCCTCAAGATTGGAATTCGATACGAGCAAAGCATTTTCAGTGTCTCTCAGACTAGTTTCAAGTTTCCTATGCTGAAACAACAGGTCATCAAGTTGACTTGTCTTCATATCTAGCTCATGTCGGACTTGGCTCAAAGCCAAAAACAACTTTTCAGTTTCATCTTTTATGTCCTTCTTGCTAGAGGCTGATTCCTGAAGCAAGCTAAAATCAAAAAGGACACCCTGCAATAAAACTTCTTTCCTCTCCAGTTCTTTCTTAAGAGACAAGTTCTCATATAATATATTAGTATCTGATGGGCACAATTCTCTCTCTTTCAAATTTTCAACTAGTTCACTGTGATCCCCTTCATCTGTATCTTTCTTATAAGTATGCAAGATGCCATCTTGAGCTCTCACACAGATCTGTTGCAAAATATCTTCAAGTGAGCTGCTTTCTTTCTGTCTTAATGTCTGAGAATCACATTCCACTTTGAGGTTTGGGGTTTTGTGCATCAATTCTCCTACATGGCACAGGTACAAGACATAAAGTGCAAATCCATTCTCCATTATCTCAGAGAAAATATCTTCCAGTGATGATCGTGAATTGCGGACGAAGTGACACATCTCCTTCCAAATTGATAAGACATCTGAATATAATTCCTTGAACCTGAAATCCACTTGTTTTTGTATTTGCTGAAAATACCCTTCAAGCGAGGACATTGAGTTTACTATTTCTAACATGCTATGATGGATATGATGCATCAAAATTTCATTTTCTTCTTCTTTCAAGCGTATTGAAGACTTGAGTTTCTCAACTTCACCCGTCAAGCTTGTTCTCTCTTCCATCAATTGCTTACCAGCTTGCCTCCACACCCTATTCAATTGTTTTCCCTTTTCATTTGCTTTCAGCAGTGCGTTTAACATTAAATCAGCTTCTCTCATGGTTTCACGGGCCTCTTCAAATTTCTTTAAGAAGCAACTACCATGATTAGTTTTCTCACTAACAACCACCTGCATTATAAAAAATATTACACATGATAAAATGTTAAGTTGCTCATGCCTTGTCAAATGATAAATTCTTAAAAATGCTAACTAATGCAATAATGTACATAGAAGATAGCCAAATGACAATAAAACTTGGATGAATGTGTACCTCTGAGGTATTAGCACAGCCTGCTTCGTCTACCTTTATCGTCAACCCAGAAGATGGAACCTCTTGTTTCATCCCTGCCATATATCAGCTAGTAAGCCCTTTTCCAACATGAGTTTATTGCATTTATTTACAAAAAGAATAATAATATTAACTGATACCTTCAACTAAAGGATGATCTCTGACATCATTCTCATTGAGAAGTAGGCTTAATCGAACATGTAGTTTATTGAAAGCATAAAACACCGTCTCCAACTCTCTTAAGTGGAATGTCATTGCTTCAACATGAACTGACTGTTTCAATAGCTTCTTTAACTTTTCTGGGTCCTTTAGATCAAACTTAGATGCTGAGCCTCCTTGAAATTTGAGGTCCAGCATCGCTTCAGTTGACGTTGGATTATACTTAGAGAAGTCCAAGGATCTGTCCAGATCGTTTTCTGAAGCAACACTCTCAGTTGAATCATCTGAGTCTGATGCGGAACAATCAGCACTGCATCCATCAACATCTATTAAATCTTCATTCTCGGTATGCCTGACATGCACACTTGAATTTTTGTTAGTCAAATCATCAATGATATTGAGTCGGTTATTTGTTTCAGCAAGTTCATCTTTTATCTGCTGTAGAATGTGACACTGATTTTCAAGCTTGTTAAAATCAGATAGCCATTTTACAACTAGTAAAGAAGCTTCTGCTCGTTTTTCTGCTTCAAAACTCTGATCCTCTTTAGCTTTGAGTTTACTCTCTAGCACCTCTACCATATTGATTTTCTCATTGAGCAGCAAGCTTAACTGGACCACCTCCTCTTTGCTATTTTCAGTATCTGGTTGTTGAAATTCATTCAAAGCAATTGTTGCTCCCTTCAAAGAAATTAACTTTTCCTCCATATCCAATACCATCTTCTGTGCATCTTCTAAGCTTTTCTGCAGTAATAGAATTGTTTCTTCCTTCTCTATGCATTCTCTGGCAGCACTCTCAACTTTTTCACTAATCCAAATGTTAACTTGAGGGAATGAACAAACAATACTTTCTATCTGGCCAGAGGCATCTTTGAGGGATCTAGAACCATCTATAAGAAAGTTTGTCAGCTCCAAGGTTGCCTTTTCCCACTCCGTGCAAAGTGCCCTTATTTCCTCCTCTTTAGCTGTTAATGCGTTTCTTAGAATTGTATTTTCTTCAGTCATGCAACATAATCTTTTGTCAAGTTCTAACTGAAGGGCCGCAACATCTTCCTGTAAATGAAGAATGGCTCTACTCGTCTCCAACTCAGCCTGTTCACAAACTAAATCAGTTTGGTGCTGACGAGATAACTGTGAAGCCTGATCCTCTAGATATTGGCAATTGAGGGATCTGGCTGCCTCAAGGTCCTTAGTCAGTTTATCCAGTTTGGCCTGCAATGACATTTTGTCAATACCTTCACTGTGCTTCTTTACCAGTAATTTGTTCTGTTGCTCTAAATCATCTTCAAGACAGTAACCTCCAACTTTAAGCACAGACTGTTTTTCTTCATTGTCTCTGTTGCTTAAGATTTCCATGTACCTATGATTCTGCTCGCGCACAAGCTGCAGCTCTCTAAATAGATCGACCTGCTCACTTTCCAGTGCTTCAATCAACATTCTAGCTTCCATTAACTCTTTTTCAGCGTCACTAGGATGCAAAACTGAAGCACTAATCATATTCTGGTCATATTTATTTTGTGTAGTAGCATCATCTGTCTGGGCATAGGATGCAACCTCATCTCCAGAGTCACTTCTCATAGATATTGATTCTACCTGTAAAAGTAGTTACCAATCGAAGAGAATTTTAAAAAATATAAAACTTGAGCTAATAAATTATATGTAAATATTTGAGCTCCTAGCGTTGATCTAGTTTGTAAATTTTCTTACCAATGAATATCTATCTGTTTGTCTGAAGTCCTCATGATTCCTGGAAAAAGAATCTGCAACCTGCAAGGCCATGCACCATGTATAATCACACTGGGAAATATGATCAGCCATCTCAATAACTCTACTTCAAGAAGATAATTAGTGATCCTTACCGAACTTGATGTTGCATGTCCATGGTTCAAGTGCTTTCTCAGTTCTGTTTGCAGTTCATCTACCTCCCTGCTGACACAAACCATTAATAGGAACACAAAAAGGAGCAAGAAATGATCAACTAACACCTAAGACAATACAATGTTTGTTTCAGTCACACTGATAGCATCAAGAATGAAACACAAATGGTCAGTATTACCTTAGGAACCCTTAATTTCACATGAAAACAGATTGACAGGATATATTGGGACAAAATATGGGGATGGTCAATCCACCCAAATAGTCCATATAAAATGCAACACAAGGCTGATGCTTGATCCCTAATGGGAGGAAAGACTATTAAAACGGATATCCAAGATAAATTGACACACCATGCAAGCAGTTTGTTGCAAAGACCAGGCCAAAGCATTTCATTTGTGCACTAGCCACCTGTTTGAGTAATAAGCACTTGTTTGCAAAAGCTGAACTAGGGTAGAAATTAGTTTATAAGCGATTGGAAAAAAGATTTTTGAAATGTCTCTGAAATTCTCACTGAGAACCTAGATGGGATGGCCCCGTAGATGCTAAATAGGAAATTGGAGGCAGCATGAGGCAGTACGCATCAAAAGCCAATGCCTAAGTCAGATGATTGAAAGATACCTCATTAGTTTGGAGTTCAAATCCCTGCAATCTTCCAACTCTTTTACAGTGTCATTATCCTGCACCCCAGGTGAGTGTACTATTAGAAACTAGTAAATATTTTACAACACAAACTTGATTACAATAACTAAGATTTCAGTATAACCTTTTTCTCGTATCTTGAGGAAATTTCTCCCTTTCCTTCAGTTATATCCAGAATCTGCACATCAATTAAGAATTTCCTTTTGTCACCACAGGAGACCATTTCAGCTTTGTAACAGAGAAAAATATTTATCCTCAAACCTGGTCACGTAATTCAGCTACTTCAGCCAGCAATGCTTCTCTCTCTCCCAGCTCATAGAAGTTTTGAAACCTGGCATGAAAAGTGAGTCGTTCAAAATCTTAAAATGGAGTGAACCATCTTTTCTGATGCATTAGTAAAAATATACACAGTAGTTACAATTGAAGCTGTTCCAGAAGTCTAATATTCTCTAAAGCAAAACGCGTCAATTCTGGATTTCTGTCAATCCTTGCTTGAAGCAGTTGAATCTCTTCCTTTAAAGCTTTAATTTCTTCCATGAGATACTTCTCAGCAGACAAAGAGCCATTTACCAATGATTCAAGTTGTTTTATTTTCTCCTCACGAAATTTTAACATCATTTTAATGCGTTGAGCATCTTCCTCTCTCTGGCACGCCTGCAAATTGCAAAAGTTGCCCAACTGTAAAATAACCCCCATGTAGATAGCTTCTGCTTCAGCAAAACTAGGAACCTTTTAAACTAAGCTACTAGTATTGAGGGAAAAATATTCAGAACAAGAAAATGATGGAATTACTTGTTATAATCAGACTTACCAAGCGATTTGTGTGCTCAATTTCAGCCTCTAATTTCAGAGCTGCAGTCTCCGCCAGCTTTTCCCTCCTCAAAGCACCAAGTAACGTAACTTCCAAGCATTTCACCTGATTCTTATACATTAGCGCTGGTTGTTTATGACACCACTCTTAGGGAATAAATTTTGATATAGTAATGGACCTTACCTTCTCATTTTGTACCTTATCACCCATCTTTTCTTCTTCAGAAAAACTATATTTCATAAAATTATCTCTCAGTCTAGATTCTTCAAATCTTGAACCACCACAAGATGGAGACCTTGATTGGTTATGATGCTTCATTAGAGATGACAACTGGCCCTGTTTGAGTGTGATAAAGACGTCAGCTTAATAATTGCGTGCATCCAAAGATAATACTAGCAGAAATCTGCAGCTGGTCCATACCTTCAATTGCTGAATCTGCCGCTGCAGTGCAGTAACATCACCAGAAGCATTTTCGTTGACTTTAGCCTAGAAAAACGAGGGGAAATTAAAAATCTCTCTTTTTTCATTAGAAGAGAAACAGACTAAAGTTCAAAGTAAGTACATCATTCTGGATAAGTTTGGCACGCTGAGCAAACTTTAGAGTGCTCAGTGTTTCATTCGCAGAGCTGTAAGAAAAGCAATACCTTTTATACAAAGAAACAAAAACAAAAAACCACAGGCCACAGGCCACAGGCCATAGAAAGTAAAAGATCCAATGGAAAAGATAAATGTGGTTTCACAAACAAAAATTAACGTTTAACACAAACCAATTTGATGGGCTGACATTTGCTATGATAGTAGTTTTTGAGTTACCACCAAGAGAATCCTGTATCCAAAGATATAGACATTATCATCTCTTACACATAGAAGTCAAATTTATGGACTTATATCTAATTAGGTAGAACTATCTTCCACTATATCCGTCAGTAACTAACCTGAAGTAGGAATGTGAGCCTTGAATCTCTGTAGGGAACATGTCTGTGTTTCCCATGGGCTAAATCCACAAGAGACATGATCACCAAGCTAAGCATAACATACAAACCAAATAAAAGTAAATTAAGGAGTCAAAAGAATGTAGTTGCATGGAGGAGCATACAGGCTAGATTCAGTTATTAAAAGATGTGTTTGTATAAACTCAGCATTTGTTTTGATCATTAACAAATAAGGTTATGCTATCAGGGATCTCTTAAGAACAATCATTGCCAAATCATAAATACGGCGAGACTCAGCAAGTATTTCAACTTCTCGTGCAAAAACATGTGGTGAGGAATTACTATAAATGAGAATTGACAAAATAATAGCTTTGGGATCTGTTTACGGTATTGAAAAATAATAATAATCCCAAAATGATAATGAATCTTTGTGAAATTATTATATATACAGAAACAGAGCACTTCGATTCATGGGATATCCAAAGATGTAACAATTAAAAGAAAAACCAAACCAAGAGGACCTATATATTGTGCATACATTTGTGAAACCAATTTTAATCAACCTCTAAGGCCAAGTTCTAGCTCATGAAAGATAAGGATTCTTTATGTAACATGCTCTTTGCAAACAGCCTCATCAAAAGAGAAAAGGAGTGATGCCCTGCTTATTTTCCACCATGACTATTTCATTAAATGAGCTGGTACGTGGAGGGGTTGTCTCATCTTGGGAGCATATAAACGTGCTTGGTACAAAAAAAGAATATGTGAAACACTAAAGTTAAAAGATATGACATAACCCAAAGTAAACATTGCAGGTACTGCAGCGTCTTTGGAGCAACCTGGCTGAGAAACAGGTCTCTGATATATTTACCCAAGAGTTGATAAGGATTTGTTTATATTTGCCGCTTCTTTCAGACGATCTCCTTCTGCTCCAGAGCTCTTTTGCCTGATTATATGATCTGATTAGTTACGCATTTGTCAAATAGTAGCTCATAGCTTCTCAATGGGTATAAGTTGAAATTTTGTCTTGGCAAAAAGCTATAATTACCTTTCAGAACCAGCTAAATCAACTAAATTTAACCTTGCAAATCTGAAGTGGGTCATTGAATCTTTCTCCCACTGACTTTCAATGATACAGGTGAAAACACTGTGGGATCTGCTGCTCTCACTGTTCATATTGGTAGCTGCCATTTTTCTGTTTGCAGCACCCTGTGTAATTTTAGTTGTGTTCAAGCTCAGGCACATGATAAATGGCTGAAGCACAAAATTTTACAAGTAGATAATACCTCTAACAGAAGATCAAGTACATCATTAACAGTTGTGACATTATATTCTGTCAGGTTTTCCACATATACACCTTTCTTCAAGTCTTCTCTGAGCTACAACAAGAAAATTAGGTCTGTGATCCTGTCTAACAATTTAAAGTAAAATACCAACCATAAATCGTGAAGGAAAGTGAAATTACTTGGAGATTAGTTGATGAAGGCTCCAACAGGTCTGTTATCTGCTCATTGTATATCTCTAGAAATGAACATTTGCAACTGAACTTCAGCCTCTCATCCCTCCGGTTTTCTTCTTCCTGAACATATAAATTTTAGTAAAATTCCACACCTCTAACTCAAAGAGAAAAGGAACAAACTATCAATAACTGAGTGATCTGATTATAATATACAGTGCAATTTTTTTATAAACACACCGTTCTAATCCTTGAAAATAAATATTCAAATATTCGAGGAGTTATGCCACAGTCTTCACTGAGTTTGCCTTCTACCTCATTTATCTCACCCATCATAGTATATGTTTTGCCACTACCTGTCTGAAAGAAAAAAATTAAAAAAAAAAAAGGTAAAACTTCAAATTTTGCTCTACAATAGTGCTACCTCAACAAGAACAAATCCCCGGCATGACCTACCTGACCATAAGCAAACATGCAGCTATTATACCCAGACAAGCAATTCTCCACCATGGGCAGTCCAGCTACCCTAAACAACTTTTCCTGCACCAAAATCAGGCAGTCAACCATGTAAATTCGCTAGCAAACCACTGCTTATGCTCCATTTTATTTCACGAGGTAATACGGGAGGAGAAATGAAATAAAAACATTAATAATTCGTTTCTAAAGATTGAGAAAAGAGAAATTTCCACTAACTTGAAGTCTAATACAACTATTTGTCTTAAATTTTCCACTCCTAAAAATTAAACATATAATTCCACAAAAAAATAATAATTCGCCAACTTCTAGTTGTCTCTACTACATTGAAAACAGGAACTAGAACTTATCAGATAAAACAATCCTGCAACTAGATAATTATCTGTTAAAGTACGACCTGTGATATCGTCTCGCAAGCTACATCGTCAAAGGTAAATCTAGTTTCCGGATGACCAAGCCAAACCAATGTTTGTGAACTCTCCTGCCTCAAACACCTTGCGTACCCTTGTGAAACCCTCTCTATTGTACTCAACGGCCGAATTCTTATCAACACCTTCAAACAAAAATAAATAATATAAAAAATTAATAACCGCATCAATACGTAAATAAACCAGCCGCTAATAAAAATTAATGCACAAACCTGAACGTTGTGATAGTTCCAAAACAAAGGATCATCGACAAGTTCGAATTGCGGAACTTCAACCGAAAACTCATTATTCATAGCTGAAATCCCTCTTGTAACCCTAGAAAAAGAAGAAGAGCTGATTCCTCTTCCACTAAGCGAAAATCTCGAGCCGCCACTCCTCGCAGGCGTGCTCTGCACCGAGCTCGGCTCCATTTGAGCCCTCCCGTGGTGGCGAGCCGGGAACCTAGGCGTGGCATGAGATAAACCAACACTTGCATTACTTTCTAATATCACTTTGCTCTTATCTGAAGCTGACCGATTCGTTGCAATTCTAATAAGTTCTGACTCTTGAACTGAGTATTGAGAAGGATCTGGAATCGAGTTTAACGGCGTTCTCGGAGGCGGAAAATTAATCGGATTCAACGAAGTTCCGAGCTCATTCTCGTTCGATTCATGTTGTGAAGTTTTTGGTGCTAATCGAGAACTCGAAGATTCTTTAGACATGCTATTGAATCTGAAGATTTACAGAACAAAAACTAATATTTTAATTTAGAGTTTCAAACCTTCGATACGGTCCATGAAGAACAAAAGAAAAGAGGAGGAGCGTTTCAGAGAGGATCTTTTGGTTGTGGTGGTTAGACCGTAGGAGATTACAGAAAGTGCTTCGAGATTTGAAACTTGGAAGCTGAATGAATATCAGTGAGAATAACGAGATATTGAATAGTGTTATTTAAAAAAAAAAAAATATGAAAGATAAAATAAGCCCGCCCGTTTTCAAATTAAACTTTTTTAGGAAGGCCCTGATTTTTTCAAAATAATAAAATGACCCCAAACTCATCCAAAACTTTTGCGGTTGCTCTTTGCTCATCTATAATGACTTGGCAGTTTGGCATCGTTAATAGTGAATATAATAGCGTATAATTTGTATTAAATTTTAATTCTTCCAAAATGATCATAAATTTTATATAAAATTGTTTAGAATATGTAAAAAATTTACCTCAAGTAATGCATAATTTTTTTAATATTAGATCATATTGTCAATGTAGATATATATTTTAAAAATTAATAATGATGATACTATTGGTGTGATCGTAATATATACAATCAATAGGATTTTTCTAATCCTCCTTCTCGAAAGAAAGAACATCAATTTTTTTTCTTTTCCTTTCTGCAAGGACGAGGAGATTGGATCTAGCCATAAGAAGAATGTTTAACTAATAAATAACTAACATCATGGTCTTTGTCTCTTTAACCCCCTCAAACACTACAAGGGACGTTAATTAAACTTAACAATACAATTGTCAATAAATTTATAATAAATAATATATTGGATATAAGTTATACAAAAATATAAGTAATTATTGATAATACTCTTTATAATTAATATATTTATAATTGAGTTTGACGATATGGAATAAATTTATAATACTTGAAAGAGTGTAAAATAAAACCAATATAATTTACTAATGAACAAATTATTAAACCAACACAAATAACAACACCTCCAAATTGAACTGCAATAAAATTTTTATTAATAAAATATTCAAATATTTATCTAGCTTTTATAGTAAAATATTATAACTTTTGTTGTAATTTCATTTTTATGTTTCAACCCCTCAAAATAACGCATCAAAATACAAATTTTTGATATTTATCTTTTTTTCCTAATTCCAATATTTTGATATGACTCATATATGGGTAGACTAGATGGTTAGAACGAATTAAAAATAGTGTGGATAGACACACTATCTATCTCTTGACTCAAAATGGGAAGAAAAAAGGATCTTAGAATGTCTAGGATTGGGAGTGGTGGACCTAGGATTTTTGTCCAGGGGGGCCTTTTACGACTCCGCCATTGTTTGTTAATCAACTAGTTAAAATTTTTAAAAAACCACCAAACCTTGAGTGAAGGAAATAATACAACATCAATAAACTGAAAAGAAAAATACAATAGTAGAGTACTTTCTTACTTGAATAAATCAATGAAAAGCAAAATTTTAAACAAATGTATTGAGGGGTGAGAATCTGGAATTTATTAAATCAGGAATGAGAACTTGTAGATTCGCGAAACCTTGGGTGGGAACATGTCCTTTACTCATTAAATTATAATCTAATTATTATTTTTTTTAATTATGTCACGTCATTGTCATTAGTTAGAGGATAAATTTGTGAAAAAAATAACATAATCATTCGAAATTTATTAAAATCAAGAAAAGTAAAGTTAATTATTAAATAGATTATTAGTTTATAATTATATAAATTATTAATTTTTATTTCTATTAAAAAGAGGGTGTAAGTTAAAGTATGAAATCTTTTATTAGTAGAAGAATTTTGCTTCTACTAAGTAATTAATTAAGTTGAGGGATAAAAGATATAAAAATAAATACAGACGAAATGACAATGAGGTCAGGTCAAAGAATTAGGGGAAAGGGCAAAAACATGAAAGTCAAATTAATAAAGACATATATAATCTCAAAGGATATTAAGGGAAAGGGGAAAAACATGAAAGTCAAATTAATAAAGACATATATAATCTTAAAGGATAAGGAGAAATTCTAGGGAAAACTTTTCCATAGAATTTTTTTTTTTTTTTTTTTTCCTTTAAATTCTCAAAGGGTCCGCCCCTAATAGGAAAGGACGGTCCCTTTAATATATATATATAAGTTTATTGATAATAGTAATCATATTGCGTCTTAAAAGAGGTACAAGTGGATTTTTTCTCAATATCAAAATTGGGTGGTATACATTTGAATTTTGAAGTTTTAGATGATGCAATGAGAGACAAATTGAACAAAATAAAGTAAGGAAATCCGTTGCTACATAAAGCAAGGCATCCAAGGTTTTATAAGTGATTTTAAGGGGGCTTTGGGTTTAAGCATCGCTAATGGGTCCAGATTACACAGAATGAGACAATAAATGAAAATGGGCCATAGAATTTAAGAAGAGTAATCATAAAAAGATTCCATATTGAAAAGCCAAATCTAATCGTATAAACAAAACAAACTTTAATTAGCTTGTGTTTGCTTCATCATTTTCAAATTCCAACAGTGAGGTTTGAGTGTCGTGTATACTTCAGTTTGAAATCTGTTACCGCAAGTATTAAAAGAGTAAACTATTCGATAAACATTGAGTACTTCCCTAATCACTTAATTCGATAACAAATCTTCATTGTTACAAAATTAAGTATGCCAATAAATCAGAAGAAGTAACATTTCATGCTCACACTCATCATACAGAGCCAGGGTTCATCGTTTGCAAAATTAAGTATGCGAATAAATCAAAAGAAGTAACCTTTCATGCTCACGCTCGGCATGCAAGGCCAAGGTCGTGAGCATGGAAGGCTAGGGTCCAATGAACCTAATACCCTAATAAAATAAAGGTAGATAGAATTCATTCTAAAAAATTAGGGGTGTTAAAAAAAATACAAAAATTAAACCGAACCGCTAACAGAATCGAAAAACCGGTTAATTGAAAAAACGGTTCGGTTACGGTTCGAAAAATTCAAAAAACCGAATTTTCGGTTCGGGAGAAATTAGAAACGGTTAACCGAAAACCGGTTTTTCAAATATATATATATATTATATTATATTATATCAAATAAATAAATAAAAACCTAAACTAAAATAAATCCCTAATTCACTCAATCTAAAATCCCAACCCAAATTTTTTTTCTTAGTTCCCAATGTATTGTCCATATTTACAATTTAATTTAGGACAAAAAAAAAAAGTTTTATAAAAAAAAGAGGGAAACCGGTTTAAAAGCGGTTAACCGCTTTTTTTAAACTGGTTTTCTCAAAAACCGGTTTGGTTTCGGTTCGAAAATTTTTCCGAACTGAAAATTCGGTTCGGTTTAAAAAAACGGTTAATCGGTTCGATTAACCGCTTTTGAACACCCTTATAAAAAACTAGTTCAAAAAGAGAAGGGAGTCTAACCATTGTATATATCATAATAACCCACCAATTTGACGATGTGGGACAAATACAATTTTTAACATGTAAGTTAATTATTCACCGACCCCTTCTCTTTCTATGTTATATTAACCTTTTTAGTCATTCTCTCTATTTCTAGCACACGGTGTTCTGATTTTGGTGTTGGAATGTGTTAACACAAGCTAGTGATGAGTTTTTAACAAAGAACTTGATCAATCAGTTGAAGATTTTCAGGGTTTCTATAGTTTTCGTTTCAATCCAAACCTCAGGCTAGTACTAATTAATTTAGTTATTAGTTATAAAGTACCTGGGATTTGGTTAATCGTGCGTGTAAATATTTGACTTCATCATATCGTAAAAATTTCGAAACCGGCCGAAAGATTTCACATTATGAATTTTGTATTTCCATTTTGATTTCAAATTCAAAAGAGAACAACAGATAATGAAATGATGGAAATTGACAGATCTCTTCCACTAAGACTTTCTCTATAAATTATCATATGAAAAGTTGGATGAAGTATTATTTGTGAGTATAATTTACTATTATATATCCTAAGTTTCAAGAATATCTATCACTCAATGCCAATGTTCAAACAAACTCAGTAATTTGAATACAATTTTTTTCATTCACCACGTACAGTTGGGAAAAGCCTTAAGTTTACACGAAAATTATAGAATCAGACAGCTCAAATATGGCAACAGTTATAATAAGCAAATTACAGAGACCAAATTACCAGCCCGACCTGCATTTGATACAAACCAGAAACTATCATGAAATTATGAGATCTAGAAATATTCCTAGAACCAAGAGAACTACATGAAAAACTGTCCACGGAGTATGAACCACTCCTCCATCTGTAAAACTGCCTGGAGCTGAAACACAGAAAGCACAAGTCCAAAATTACTTCAACAATATTACTGCAAGTTCTTACTAATTAAACCCAAATAGCTCATAATAGTATTCTTACCACATTGTCTAGTAGCATTCATGGTGCTTGAGCAGAGGCAAGTCATCCCTTCAGTCTCAGTGTCGAACCCACATGTCCCACCAGAAAGTGAACAACGTTGACATCCAGTATCAGGAAGAGAATAAGAAAGTTTGATCCCGTATACCCAATCCAACGGTCCTATGCCCTTCAAGCTATCTGTATTGATCACACTCGTATAATGCGTGCAGTCCAAAATGTTCATGCTCATGTACTTCACTGTATCATAGTTAGTGAAGCAACACGGCGGAGAACTGTTAGAGAGTAAGTGGAAAACTCTGAACGCATTGCAGGCTCCATAAAGTTCATCACAAGAATGATCAGAGATGTTGAAACAGAGATTCTTGTAATGGTTGAGTACAGGAGAGTCAATTGAACAATTCAGGAGAGCAAAAACGGTGTCTGGTGATGGAGGCATCATGGCAGATTGAATATCTGTCATGATAAAGTCATGGTGAGGTTGCAATATTGAACATGTGGACATAGCAGGATCGTATACAACCATTGTTTTCTTATTGTAGTCTATTGACTGGACCTTGTAGCTGCCAGATGGTGTTAAGAAGAACAAGTCATTGGTGCAGTTGAACATGTGCCGGTACTGCGGGGCGCCGCAGCCGTCATCCACTCCAAACGGGTAGCGGATGGGAATGTTGCCGCAGAAGCCCCTACAAGTAGCAGAGGTGTGAAGTGGTTCAACAATCAGAGTTAAAATGCTGATGAAATTGAAGATTGTGAAGGGTGTTAGGAGAAACTGCATTTTGGTGCTACTTGCATATCTCTAAGTGTGTAAATGTGAGAGTGCAAAGAAGAAAATGTGTTAAGAAAGAGTAAAGGTTTTACAGAGAAAGCGTACGTAGGCACTAGTAAAGGCTCTCCTGAATTTTCTCCACAAGTCAGGAACACTTTTTGACCGTTTAGATTAAGACAGCCTGGTACTGGGATCCACAAGTTGAAAAACGAGTGAAAGAAGAAGAAAAGCCAGTAGCCATCTGTGATCTTAATAATTCACTTGTATAGCTCGATTTACGAACACTTTGTCCTATAGTGGGCATATGGAGTAGTGATGGCTAGCTGTTTTTTATGTAGAAATTAAAGGATCAATTAGCCACCGTTATGCTGATATGACATCTACCGAGCCATTATATATCAAGAGTACATAGAACCAAAATTCTCATCTGTCTCTTCGCTTTTAGACTTGTTTCATTAAGTAAATATTGGATTTCAACTTTTCAGTATATACTTGATATGGTTCATTACTTGAAAACATAGTGCCAATCCCATGGTTTTAAAAGATATAATAATATAAACGGCCTGGAAAATCTACCCAAAAAGCCAAAGCAAATACTCGCATCCATTAACTACAAATGGCTGATGCATAGCATATAAAGGAAAGAATTTCTACAGCACAGAGTTTTAGTTACTCAGAGAGACAGAAATCAACTACAGATAAGCATAACTATCATATAATAGATCACGAAATCCTCCAGAGTAACTTCAGACATTAACAAAACGCAAGTAATCCTTCTTGGATGGAAGTTCCACTGTCTTATAACCATTGGGGAACATTACTTTGGCTTGCTCATTGGTCACACTGGGAGATATCACCACAGGTTCTCCCGGTTTCCAGTTGGCAGGTGTCGCAATCTTGTGCTTTGTCGCCAACTGCAGAGAGTCTATCGCTCTCACCACTTCATCCATGTTCCGCCCCGTCGTTGCAGGGTAAAGAAAGCTCAACTTGATCTTCATCCACAATACCAAACATTAAACATTGTTAACAATATTATGAACAATTTATCAAATTTAACTAGCAGTTTAGTCCAATTACGCACCATCTTGTCAGGGCCCACGATATGAAGGGCTCGAGATGGCATATGCTGTCCTTTTGAGTCTTTCTCATCTGGGTCCACCATGTTGAGTTGCTTGATGACCTCTCGGTTGGGATCTGCGATGATCGGGTATGTCACCATGCATCCAGGCTGCAGCACGTAAACCAACGAGTAATTAGCCATTGATAAGAATATTGTAAGAAGTTAAAAGGAAATCAGAGCTCACAGCGTAGGCTTCAATGTCCTTGGTCCAATCATTGTGGGACTGCACATCGTCACAAGACAAACCCAGAAGTTTCACCCCTCTCTTTTCAAACTCCGGGATGTATTGGGCCATTTTAGAAAGTTCAGTTGTACACACAGGTGTGAAATCACCTGCATGCATGGAAATTTTAAGCAATCAACATCAAGAGAACACCAAATGAAACCAATATGAAAAGCAAAACAGAAGGTAAACAACCGGGGTGAGAGAAGAGAAGGACCCAGCCATTGCCGACGTAGTCATGGATCTTCATCTTTCCTTGGGTGGTTTCGACATCAAGGTTGGGACAGGTATCTCCAATTGTAAGGCCTGGCATTTTCAACTCACTCTGCAACTTCAGCTTTCCTTCTAAGTGATCTNGTGAGAGAAGAGAAGGACCCAGCCATTGCCGACGTAGTCATGGATCTTCATCTTTCCTTGGGTGGTTTCGACATCAAGGTTGGGACAGGTATCTCCAATTGTAAGGCCTGGCATTTTCAACTCACTCTGCAACTTCAGCTTTCCTTCTAAGTGATCTGATGGTGGAGAGATTACGAGGATTTAAAAGAAGTGAAGAGTCTGTGCATGCAGAGAACGTGGCATGCTTAGTGGCTAACACATTTTTTGGCAGTAACGTACCTGCGCGTAAGTCGTTGATCTTCTTCCACATGTACCTTTTTTTCATTATCTTTGATCGATTCTTGTGTGTGCATTTTCTTAACTATCTTGATGATGATCTTTTGGGTAGTTGTATATTTATTTTGTTTGCACCATGTCAAGTAAATGGCGATTTCAGCAAAATAATCAAAGATGCTACTTTGTTCTGGAACCGCCGTAATAAAAGCCGTAAACTTTGAATTGAAAGATTTTGGAAGAGTTTCTGCTAGATCACTAGATAACATAAAAGGTTTAAACCAATGGATCGACTGAGGGAATGTGGCTCAAATGGTAGAGCGGTCGCTTTGCATGCGAGAGGCACCGTGTTCGATCCCCCGCATCTCCAATTTTTCTTTTTCCTTGTTGTTGCACCAGAACCGACATGTCGTCCGTTTTTTATCACACTAATGTGTTTTTACAGCTACTAAAGACGACAGATAAAATATTCATCTTTTCCCGCCCAATATATTTGGCACCACCTGACTCTACAAATTATTAGGGTTCTTCTTTTACCAAAATAACATAAACCAGAACCCAATCTCACCATGGACGTCAATCAAGTGGCTCAGCTACTAAACGACACACTTAGTGTCGATGTCAACGTCGTTCGCTCAGCAACTGATGCCCTTGACCGTCTCTCTTTCTTCCCTCGCTTTCCTTCCGCGCTACTCTCCATTGCCAGTGGTAATTTCTCTTGTTTTCTTAAAGTTTCCGCTTTAGAGTTCCATTCAATTTTTTTTCCTTGGTAATCTTGGAAAACTCTGCTTAATTAAGCTCAATTATGACTGTGTTAAACTGTTTTTATCGAATTCTGAGCTCACTCTAGTACTAGCGCGTAATACTAGTAGTAGATAAATATAAACAAATTAAAAATATTGGAATTGTTGAGAAATAATTATCATGTGATCTTCTCCATTGCCACAGGTAATCTCTTTTTGTTTCCTCAACAGTTTCCACTTTACAGCTCCATTCCTTTTGTTTTTCTGTTAATAATCATGACAAACTCAGTTTAAATAAGCTCAGTAATGACTGTGTTAAGTTCGTTTTTAGTGAATTTTGAGGTCACTAGTACAAGCCCGTAAAATGATTGTTGGATAAACAAAAAAAAACAAAAAAAGGGCAATACTAAAAAATAGTCACACTTGAGTTATTATGCAGTGTTTGGTGGCATCTGATTTTTTTGAGATTTGTTACTTAAACCAAACTTAATTTTCTGAAGGAAATGACCTCTTTCAGACAGCTTTAATTTTGTTAGCAATTTATTCTGAACAATCTATTTGATTTTTGTTTGAAGGTGCACACACACACACACACATTGAGAATGTTGTTGTGAGAATTTGATGTTATTGCAACTTTTAAACCATAGGAGGTCAGAATCAAGGGCAAAAAATTGCTGCAGCCGCATACTTGAAGAACTTTACAAGGCGAAACATTGAGAGCAATGTTTCATTCTCAAATATCAGTAAAGAATTCAAGGACCAGCTTATGCAAGCGATGCTTCAAGCTGAGCCTACAGTTCTGAAAGTTTTAATTGAAGCAGTATGCATATGATACTATCTCTGTGCTTGGAATTTTAAAACTTGTTTTTGCAGTTGTTAGTTGATGTATGAAAGGATTTTTGTCTTGTTGGTAGTTTCGGGTTATTGTTAGTGTGGAGTTCATGAAGCAGAATTCTTGGCCTGAACTTGTTCCTGATCTGCGGACAGCTATTCAAAATAGTAACCTAATTAACAATGGTGCAAGTTGTGGATGGAATACTGTTAATGCGCTCATGGTTCTTCATGCACTTGTTAGACCTTTCCAGGTATTTCTTATGTTTCTATGTATTATTTGACTTGCCCATAGTTGTTTACAATTTTGTTTCCATCTGTTGTGGAGAATTATGTAGAATCCCTTAACTAGTGTGGAGTCATTTGTGAAGGGAAACATGATACAATTGATAAGTTCATGGAAAATTTATATGTAATCACTAGCTATATGTGATGATGATAGACATGTATATCTTGATAAATAACTCCAAATTCATTTCTCTTGCCATATATCTCTCCGATTTGATGGATTCTGCTGCAAACATCATGCCAATCAATTTTCCTTAATCAGGTTAGCTTTTTAAGGTGTTTATTTGTGTTATTATTTTTCTAACTTCTGTGAATTTGCTTTCCTTTAGCTAAGTATGGTGTGAATATTTGTATTGCTTTTTATCTCTATAAATTTTTATCTGAGATAATATTATCTGTAGACTCTCAATTGTGAGTCATCATTTGTATGTGATCCAAAAGGTGGTCCTTTTAAACTTCTATATGTAAAAACCAATCATCTGGTCTTCCTTTCACTTTGTGGCTTCTAATTAGAAGTGTTCTTGACAGTACTTTTTGAATCCTAAAGTTGCCAAGGAGCCAGTACCACCGCAACTCGAGCTAATTGCCAAGGAGATTATTGTGCCCATGCTAGCAATATTCCCTCGTTTTCTTGAAAAGGTTGTTTTCTTCCCTTTTCTTTAGCCCTCTCTTCCTCATCTTCACTTACCACCTTTTGATGAACCTCCATGGACCATAGTAATGAATTTTAAGGTGTGTGAAACAGGTGTTTGCTCCCAGTGGTAGAACAGAACTGGAATCAGAAAAGATCCTTCTCATTGTATGCAAATGCATATATTTTTCAGTAAGTGCTTTTGAAGAAAGCTCGCATGGTACCCATATTATGTAGGATCAGGCATAACCTTTTAATGGACAGCAGGGGTTTTTACTTTTCTTCATTATTTAATGGGTTTCGTATAAATGCAGAACCAAAGATTCTTATCAGTTATTATACTTATACGGAGCCAAAATTTATAGATTTGATGGTCATTATGCATATTCTGTATTGTTATCCCATAATAATTGGTGTACACCTGAAGTTATCACTGACCTTCTTTGTTTCTCTTGCATATTCATTGGATTTTTCTTTTGCTTCTGGCGTTTCTTTTGAATTGTGATATCTTTTATAGGTTAGGTCGTACATGCCATCTGCTCTGGCTCCTCACGTGCCTTCATTTTGTCGTAATCTGATTGCGATTCTGGGTACTTTGAGTTTTGATGACAGTCTTACTCCAGGAGATGATTACTTGCTAAGGTTGAAAACCGGAAAGAGGAGTTTGCTGATTTTCTGTGCTTTGGTTACCCGGCATCGGAAGTATTCTGATAAGTACTACCCTGATTTGCCATTTAATTATGTTATATTAAACCATTAGTGGTTAGTCTTCATTTTAGTTGCCATATCATTTCAGGTTAATGCCAGACATCACAAACTGTGTTTTACAGATAGTCAAATACAGCACAAAAATCAGTGTAAGTTTTTCTTTTAATTTATTTATTCTCAATTACTTCACAGTTGGCATGTACTTTTGACTGTATGCAATATGTGTTATGAAGAAGGGACTCTGTTGACTGTCTGAAAATGTTACCATTCATTACCTATTAGATCGCAAAACTTCATTTTTGAGTGTGCTACCCCCTTTTTTCTTTTAAAAGAGAAAGAAATCTATAATTTTCTTCAATATTGGTGCTTTCATTTGATTCTGTATACTGTGACGAATAAATCAAGTTTTACTTTATTAATGGCTTATTGTCCTTGTCGCTTTCTTGTGTTGCTTTGTTGGATTTAAGAATTTGAATAATGATTTTCATTGTGCAGAAGCTTGATTTCCTGCAAGAGAGGATCATATCATTAGCTTTTGATGTGATTTCACACATTCTGGAGACAGGCCCCGTAATTTCTTCTACATTTGTTGGTTTACTATTCAATTATACAATAAGTGGTTTCTCTTGACAAGATCTTACTAATTATCTGGTTTGGATGAGGACCATTGCATTTCTACAATTTTGAAGTTTTCAGTTCATTTGAAACAGGGATGGAGATTAGTTTCACCCCATTTTTCATTTTTGTTGGACAATGCAATCTTCCCAGCATTGGTACTAAATGAGAAGGTATGACATCTCATGGTTAAAAGAGAGAAACAATATGATATCTGGATAGGAAAAAACATGTTCACTATCATTTGAAAATATCTTTGTTAAAGTTTGAAGTTGACTGATAGTAATTATCTAGTTCTTATGGCTGTGATTGTGAGCAGGATATTTCAGAATGGGAAGAAGATGCAGATGAGTACATACGGAAAAATCTTCCATCTGAACTTGTATGAGAATATATGATCTTTGGGACTTAATTATTATTCTAATTATTATCGTCATTGATCTTTTCTCACTTTGTTGTCAGGAAGAAATTTCCGGATGGAGGGAAGATTTATTTACAGCCAGAAAAAGTGCTATAAACTTACTGGGTGTTATTTCAATGTCAAAGGTTTTATTTGATTGTCCTTAATGAAAGTCTGAGCTATGTGTTTCAATAAAATTGCTGTTCAATTTCCCTTTAATGCCTTCAGGGACCTCCAATTGGAGCTTCTGCTAATGGTTCTTTGGCTCTATCCAAGCGTAAGAAAAGTGAAAAGAGTAGGAGAAATAATCTGCATCGTTCTATGGGGGAGTTGCTGGTGCTTCCATATCTGTCAAAGTTTCCCGTTCCATGTGATGGAAATGCCTCTGATTCTAGAATTCTGAAGGAGTAAGTTCGCTAGCATGTCTCATATATATTATAATGGTCCATATTTTGTTTCAATGCCCCATTTTTTAACTTAAGCTCCTGCAAGTTATCCTAAATCATATCACTAAAAACTGTATGTAACATAAACACAACTACTAGGTTTTGGTTGCAATAGCGTGTGGTTTTGTTTTCTCTTGTTCTTTGTCATTTTCATATGTAGTCATTTCAAAGTTCAAGCTCTCTTATTTTGATTTTTTTTTTTTTTAAAGTGATGAAGTATTTTGGTCATGTTTATTGAACAAAGTTTGAGCAAATTGTTTTGTGGCTGTCTGGTATTCAAATAAATAAGAATAGAAGAAAAAGTGATGAAATCAAATAAATGAGGATCTTAGTTTTATGAAATCTTAGCCATGGCAGGTGTATTTCTCTTTTTCCTTGTTCTTTTTGTGGTTCTGGTAATTCTTTTCTCTGTTAATATGCTTTGTATTCCTTCTTTTCATTCATTCTCATCATGATGTTCCCATAATCATCATTTTCTTCTATGGAGATGCCTAATCACTTCTAACCTAAATGCCTATCAGTTTCTTTTTTGAAATTTCTTTAGTATCTTTTGTGCTTTTTTATTTATCTTATTCTGTTGGTATGTCAATTATGGCAGTTATTTTGCAGTTCTGATGGCTTATGGTGGCCTGCAAGATGTAAGGAAATCTGTTTCTATTGTTCAACCATTGGTGAAGTGTGGTTTAGTGAGAATTTACAAATGAGGATTTTCAATTGTGATATCACATTTACAGTTCCTAAGGGAGCAGAAACCTGAATTCACAACAAATCTGGTTCATAATCGGGTGCTACCATTGTATGCTATGTCTGTGTGCCTGCCGTACTTGGTTGCCTCAGCGAACTGGGTCCTTGGAGAGCTAGGGTCTTGTCTGCCAGAAGTAAGACAGTTTACTGCTTTTGAGCTTTTCTTTTCTCATTTCATTTGTGCAAAAGCATTGTTTTTTTAAGCATTCATTTAATTTCACGTTTGTTTAATATTTCGATACACTTTCATAAGTGCTGATATTCATTTCTAATTTTCTGATTTATCATAATCTTCATCATTATACTCTGACTTTTCAGTCTTGCTTTCAGGATATGAGTGCTGATATATATTCCTCATTGCTTAAGGCATTGACAATGCCAGATAAGGGGGACACTTCATTTTATCCTGTGCGGGTTTCTGCAGCTGGGGCAATCATTGGGATACTTGAAGTAAGTGTCCAAATCAACATTTTGGATTGCTTAATCAGGAATTTGTGCTTCTGGTTATTCACCTGGCTTCTATGTTATTTTTTTTTTGCTTCAGAATGACTACCTGCCACCTGAGTGGTATCCACTTCTTCAAGTTGTAGTTGGAAGTATTGGTAATGAAGATGAAGAGAATTCCATTTTATTTGAGCTTCTCAGTTCTGTGGTGGGGGCTGCAAATGAAAATGTTATAGATCATATTCCTTTTATCATTTCATCGTTGGTTGGTGCAATCTCAAAGCACATACATCCTAATTCAGAGCCATGGCCACAAGTATGTGAAGATTCCTGTGCCTAGGCTGTTTAGTTAATCATTTCAAATAAAGTGTTCCTGAAAACAGAAAAGGAGGAGGAACAAGAAAGAAAAACTGTTGTAACATTTAAAAAGAGCATTTGAGAATTTTGTCTATTATGATTGTTATTACTGTGGCAAATTTCAAATGATGAAGGTTGTTGCATTCTTATTAGGTTGTTGAGCGGGGCTTTGCGGCATTAGCACTAATGGCTCAGTCTTGGGAGAACTTCATGCCTGAAGAAATTGAGATGAAGCTTGGCCCATTAAGAATCGTTCTCTTGCATGTAAACCCTAAAATGAACTCTCTTTTGACTTGGAAATTCGACATAACAACAAGAGGCCACCTCTTTATTTCCTCCGACAAATACAGATAAGATAAGCAGACATTGCTCATTAAATGTACACGATATTTTCTTATTGATTCATACCTACCGTGCATGTCTAATAATTAGCTCACTGTTATGTAAACCAATTACGTAATCTTTGTCGAGAAATCTCAGAACGGGTGGACTGTGATACGATAATTAAGCGGACTTGCTTTTGATCCTGGTCATCAAGCCATGTTTTGTGTGAAGAATCACACTGGCTGCAGGAATCACAGGGCAAGTTTTATCAACTTGGACTGAGTAATTATACAAAATAGTTGCGGCAACAGCTTTCATTAGGGTAAAAGCCATGTTCTTCCCTAGACAAATCCTGGGTCCTGCGCTGAAAGCAAAGAACTTGTTTGATGGCTCATGTTTAATCTCTCCTTTCTCACTTATCCATCTCTCTGGCTTGAACTCTTGACAATCCTCTCCCCAAACCCACGTCATCCTCGCCATCGCATACGAAGACATCTGCACTTTCGTCTGCGGTTTGATCCGGTGCCCACTTGGAAGAATATCATGTTCTAAAGCTATCCTCTCCTGAAATGGAGCCGGTGGATACAGCCTTAATGTTTCGTATAAAGTTGCTTGCATGTAAACCAGTTTCCGCACCTCTTCTATGCTTGAAATCTCCCACTTTGAGCCTTCTTTTGCCGTCAGTTTTTCCTCCATTTCTTCTCTGATTTTGTTTTCGACATCAGGGTTCTCCGAAAGCAGCCAGAAGAACCAAGTTAGCGTTGCACTCGTTGTGTCTTGTGCAGCGAAAATGAAGCCCAGGACGTTGTCTCTTATGTTCTCTTCCGGGTGTAATACGGAGCCGAACACTTCATGTTCAGTCAAAAAACACTGCAGGAAATCGAATTTTTCTTCGTCCTTGTTGGTTTTAAGCTCCTCTCGCTTCATTGATACGTATTTTGTTACAATTTCACGTAGGGTGTCTCTTGCTGCATTCAGTTTCTTCTCTTTCCCAATCCCCACCCAGCTCAGCTTCCATAAACTTTCCGGCATGAAATGCCTGTAAAATATGGCTTCACACATGTCATCCATGGCTTTAAAGAAAGGATGTTGAGGGAACTCAACAGAGAGCGTCTTGGGGTTGAATCCTGTAGACATTATGCACGCAAAATCATACAAATTTCTCTTGAACAAATCTTCCAAATCCACCACAATCTCTTGTTTCGAGACGTGCTCGAGCACTGGGATCAACCCTTTTTTTATATTCACAGGGATGACCTTGGCCATGAACTGATGAGTCTGCGGATGCATAAAGTAATTATGAATGAGTTTCCTGTAAGTCTTCCAGTCCTCTAAGTCCAAAGTGAAGAGCGAAACCCCGAGAGCATCAAACAGTTGTTGAAACGCCGGGCCTTTGGGGTAATTCCAGAAGTTTTTGCTCATCACATGGTGGACATTTCCAGGATTTGTCGTTGCCACCATGTCCATTTTCGAACTGTGCACTGAAATTGTACCCAGCTGGCTTCTCTCCAGAAGCTCAGTGAACTTTTCAGGAAGATTATGGAGATTGAGAAGAAAAGTAAGGGACATTCCAACAAATGACCAGTTGGCAAGAAGCAAAAGGAAGAGGATGAAGCAAAGAGTTGATAAAATGAGTTCAGGGTAGTACATTGACAAGGTTGGGAATTCCATTTTTGCAAAATTGGAATGGTTTGAAAAGTTGTAGTTTGTGGTATGTTTGTGAGGGTGGTGGCTGCTTTTAAAAAGGAATTTTTGGGGACAGCTGAACAAACAACCTTAAATTTAGGACTTAATTAGGCAGTGAATAGAAAAATCAAAGGCCCTTCCATTTAAGCAACCATATACTGTATATATATATATATATATATTAGCTCATAATCCAATCTATCCCATTTGCGAACTAACTAATTGCAAACTTTTATGTTGGGGATGTGAGAGAAAAAATATGAGATTGGATGGTAAATGTAATATTACCCAATATATATACGAATATAAGCAAGGACGTAGCCACATTGGAAATATGGGTTCAATTGAACCCACTCAAAATTAAAAAAAATAAAAAAATAAAAAAATGAGAGCTACCATCTTATAGTATTTATAATTTTGATCACATTTAAATTATATTAAAACCACTCAAACTTTATATTTTATAAGTATATAAGCAGGGATGTAATGTGCGCGATATGACAGATGTGGTGGTGGGCCGTGCGGTGTCTAAATATTCAAAGCCCGTTGTGTCGTGAGCTGTGTCATGCCAAGGCCCGCAAAAATTCATGCCCTCTCATGCCATGTTGACCTACAAAATCTGAAGGCCCATGGCACGGCCCACTATATATCGTGCCGTGTCTTGGGTCGTGTCGTGGGTTGTGCGTGGGCTAGCCCACATGCTTTATAAAAATATTTAATTTTAATATTTATAAATTATGGTAATTTTGATTTAAAATTATGGTAATTTTGATTTATAATTAATAATTATTATAAAAATATTTTATATTTTATATTTAATGATGTTTTGTATTTATATTAATTAAAAAAATATATAATCACTATGAAATATAATAAAATAATGAGTCATTGAAATATTAATTGAATTTCAACACTTTTTATTATTTATAAGTTATAATTATAAATTACAAATATAAACCTAAAAATTAGGATTAAGAATTATTATCCATCTTTATTTCCATTCATTTTTAAATTCTTAAAATCTCCAAAAACACATTTTTTTATTTTTTATTTTTCTCGTGTTGTGTCGTGCTGGCTCACGTGCCTTTTTTAAGCCCTCAACATGGCCCGCATATTTTCATGCCATGGGCCGACACAGCCCACCGTCGGCTCTACCCAGGTACCTTGTAAAATTTTAATTACCCCCTATTAATTTAAAAAATGACAAATAAACCTTAAAATTTTTTAAAAATACACCCCTGAAAAATTAAGAAAACGAGCATTTAGCGGTTTTCTATTTTCATTACTCATTCATTTGTATCCAATTAATTTTACATCAAAGTATAGTTGTGGAATTAATTTTGGGAATTAAATTTTAGTGAACTTTATTATCCAAAAATAAAAATATTATATAATATTATAATTACTAGAGTGAAAATGAAGGTTTTAAATTTGCCCATAAGTTAATTAAACCCCCACACTTTAATAATGTTCCTCAATTGATCATATATAATTACTAATTTACTATATATTTGCTTAGAACTTTATAATTGAAGTAAATATTATTCAATCAAATATACTATTTTATTCAAAAATAATTCTTTTAATTGGATCTTAATTCCAATTATACACTTAATTAATCAAATAATTAATGAATCTAATATATTTTGATTTTCTTAAGTCTTAATCACATGCCCTCAAAATGTTAACATTATAATATCTTTTTTTTTTTAATAGAGAAATAAAATATAATTACTAATAATTAAATTATTTCAAAAAAAAATTCATACACAATTAATAGGTGGTTGAGATTTTTGTATTTTAATAAATAAATGACTAATCACTTATCTTTGATACTCGTTGAACTTCAATTCATACAATCATACTTATGAATTAATAAAAAAAATTATATAATATTAAAATTACTAGAGTGAAAATGAGGTTTTTGAATTTGCTCATAAGTTAAATTAAAATTAATTATGACAAAAGAATCAAATCAAATCAAATATTAATATTAATATGATTTATGAATCTTTAATTAAATAATTAGTATGACTCTAAGTTTATTTTATGCCATTAATTTTAGTTTGATTACAAAACATTTACCCTTCTTAATATGTTAATGTTATAATTAATTAAATATCTAATAATTTAATTAAGTAATGTACTAATTTTCATCAATTTATCATATATAATTATTTTTCTTAATATATAATTAATTTATCATGTACTAATGTCACTAATTTAAGTTTGATTACAAAACACTTACCTTTCTTAATATATCATGAGTTGTCATACTATAATATTATAATTAATTAAAATTTTAATCATATAATTAAGTAATGTACTAATATTCATCAATTTATCATATATAATTACTTATTCACTATAGATATATTTAGAACTCGATAATTGAACTAAATATTATTCACTCAAATCCACTATTTTATTCAAAAATAATTATTTTAATAGAATTAAAACACTTTTGTTTTGATCCTAATTCCAATTATACACTTAATTAATCAAATAATTAATTAACATTATAATATATATTTAAAATATAAAATATAAAATATAAAATTTATTATTTACTATTATTAAATATAATTCACCTAGCCTCACCCGGCCATGTGTCTACTGTCTTCACTCTTCTTGCATTTTAAATTTTTGTGCAAAATTACAAAAAACCCTCATACTTTACTGGTATATATTCTGATTTAGTTCCAGTTCCAAGACAGGTTCCACTCTAGGTACCTAACCTCGACCAATCCCAGGTTGCTGGTTCGGTTCCGATTCCTGCTCATACAAGAACCAGAATCGGACCTGCACATTGTCGTTTCCAAAAAAATTGGAACTAGAACCTATGTTGTGAAGGTTGGTTTGGGTTCTACTCAGAACAGTTACCCATGCTCATCCCTAGTTTGGTTGGTTGCTTATCTTGTGGTTTTTCCATTTCCATAAATGAATATG